TACAACCGGTGATTAAATTCTTTTCTTTCTCCTCTATGTTTGCGATTTAATTTTGAGTATGAAAACAAATATTTTTATGATTGATAACTTTTTTTTATTATTCCATATCATTAAATACGAACAATAATTAATCTATATAATAAAGTAGAACAATTTTAAATTTTGGAGACAAAGAGCGGTTCAAATCATTTTGTAATCAAAAAAGTCATCATTTAAAGGACGGCGTTATCCCAAACTGTTTCAAACTATTGACGTCTCAGATCGTTTTGATCCGACATACCACATTAACTCTTTTGAAATGTTTTTACTGTTTAAAATTTTTAGTTTCCAAAATTGACATCCCTACATTTAATTCGTCTCTCAATCTCGCCCAAAATCAATGTCATATAAATCTAAAATTCTGTTCATATCTAAAATTAATGTTCATGTTTAAATTTTATCCCCATTCATATTGCTCTAAATAATATCCTTTCCATATCAGAGAAATCATTTTTTCACATTACAACTTTAGAATATTCAATATAATGATGATACTATATTATTTACTTCGCTTCCTTTATCACCTGCATCCATCTCGAGCTTTTCACCCAATTATTTCTGATATCTCCTTTTTCCTTTGCCTCCCTCTCTTTCTCTCTTTATTCCTCCTTTCAATTTTTGCCTCTAACAAATAGCCACCCAAGGCTGGCCCAACAGCATGGAAAAAAAAAAGAGTTTTAGGTCCCAAATTTTTAGAAAGCCCCATAATTTTAGAAAAATCGTTAGCCCACCAAAAAATTAAATCTATTAAATTTTAAGCCTTACAAAAAAGTTCCAAAAAATTAAATTCAATTAAAATTTTTATTGCAATAATTTGGGCCTATAATCCAATCCATAATATTGAAAACTTAGAAAATAAAAAAAAAATACTAAAAAGTCAACTTATATTTACTCTCATAAGCCGCCCCTTTCTCTTCTCTCTTTTTCTCTCACCACCAAAACCCTATCTCTTCACAACAACACTATGGAGACACTATCGGAGACACAATGATCAACCATCGACCATCTTGAAGCCTCACTCGGGTATCCCTCCTCTCTCTCTCTCTCTTTCTCTCTCAGCGTTTGTCTCCCCTTACTCGGGTATTCTTTCCTTCTCCCCTTGGCCATCGAAACTCATAATAGCCCACCAAACACCCTATATATCCAAAGTCAAACTCTTACCTAAATCAATTAAAACAATTATAGTTCTGTATAATTGCATTTTTAAAGCATTTTGCTTGAACTCTTTATGGGGTTCAAATTTTATGTATTCAGTTTTTCAATTTGATAATGTTAGCGTAGTTAGATTTAATCATAGAAATTTGATCAAGACCAATTTCAATGAATGAGATGCTATCTTTTCACGAATATGTTTAAGTATGATATATGAAAAACATCTTTACTTGATAATATTTGCATATCTTCATATTTTTGTAGGAAATTATTTTTAGAGAGAATTTAGTCGTAATTGTTTGAAATAATAGAAAAAAAATATTATATTTAGAAACAATTTTTTAAACTATCAACATATTATGAGAGAAAAAAGTGTAATTTAATTCGAAAAAGTGTTAAAAATTTAGTTTTAATTGATTTAGGTTTTATTAATGTTGTTTATTATATTTTTTTTGTTGCAGTTCATCTCTTAATCCTCATTCCTTGCTTTCTATCTCATATTTATTTGATTGTTTTCATACCACAATGATTTTTGAATTTACTACCATTTGGATATTAGTCAATAATTAAACGGTCATTGAATAATGTTTGAAATTGTTTTGATTTGTATTTTATAAATTTTTTTAAAAAATAATGGGTCTATATTATATTTATCAATATTTTTTCTTAGTTTTTCTAATTGACAGTTTTTTATAGCATATATTCCCTCCGTTTCTAAATATATGTCGTTTAAGATTTTTGCAAGCTATAAAATAGTTCTAATATGAGTAAAAAATAATTACACAAAACTAAAATACTCTTATTCAATACATATTGAGAATGAAAAAAATATGAAAGACACTTAGCATACACTTAATCTATTAAACACTTATTGGAAAACATAGATAAGAGTACAATTTGGAAGAAAAAATATTAATTATAATTTGATTTCATTAAACGACAGATATTGTGGAACACAAAAAATTGTGTAAAATGACAAATATTGTGGAATGGAGAGAGTAATCTCTTAATGCAAATGTATTTATTTTTAATTTTTTTAATTGTTACGTAGTATAAATAATTAATTTAAAAACATAATTTAAATTTGATATACAATTCAATTAACAGAAAAAGTCAAAACCTAATCGCTTATCCCCTCCCCTCTCCCTTCAAAAAATTTCCTCCATCCACCACCACGTATTCACAATTTTGCGGCCGCAAATTCCCTTCCCAAGTTAAGTTGGCATTCTGCACAGAACACGTGCATTTCTGTGGTCGGCAGTTCCCTTCAACTGTCCACTCACTTACTTACACCCGCTTTTTTGAGCCTGTCTTTTTCTGACATCAACTTTTCAGTTACCCACCCACGACCAAATTAGCTCTGGCTTTAATATCGTCCACCTGTTCACAGTATGGTCCCAACTGGCCACCCCAGCACACGTTAGCCAAACCCCTTTAGTTAAGCCATCAAGTACCTTCGAAGTGACTTAACCTCCGCTCAATCTTTCACGTGTAAAATTTGGACTCATTAAATTTGAGACCAAATCTATTTGCGTGGGTGACAATTTTAACCGTTAATACGAATTTGAAACAAATTCAATTAGATATAAAATTTAAAAATAATATAATTAGTTGACACGAATAATAAATATGTTAAATTAAGATTTGATATAAATAACATGATTAATATGTACTGTAGATAAAAAATAAGTATTTAACAAGTATTACAAACAAAAATTAAGAATTTTATAATTTTTTAAATAATATTATTTGAATTGTTGTCGAATTAAATAATTTTGTATTAATACAAATATTGATATGAACTAGACAAATATCAAAAGTGACACAACAGAATACAATTGACACATCTATCAATAGTCCATCCGAATAACTAATTATGTATCTATGGATTTTCTTATTTCGTTCAAATTGAGAGAGGTGTCTACAATTGTACGGTACTTAAAAAAAAAATTCAGTATCGTATTGATATTTATTATTTTTGTAAATATTTTTATAATTATTTGTGAGTATTTTTATTGTTATTATAATATCAAAGAAAAATAAAAAAAAATAATTACGGCAAAAATAATAAATTTTGGAGGTATGTTACGGAATAAAATAGTCAAGTCCCAAATTGAGAAGCTTTTTTTTTTTTTTTCCCTTATTTGGGCTATAATTTTAATTCAAAATTAAACTAACATGACTTTTATTACTGCTACATATAGACAAAATGGAGTTATCCTTTCTCATGCTTGTCTTTTATTATTTTGCGTTAGTATTACTTAATTCATTTAATAAATCTTGTTAGGAGCTTTTGATACTTATTCAATCGTTTTATTACTTTTTTTTTTTGATAAATAAAATAAAGGGTGGGGGCAAGGAAGAGCGCCCAACGACCACCCTGATAGGTCCTTACTGGTGAAATCATAAGGCCCTGATTGCGCCTGAAACACCTTTTGGGACCAAATTTAACTAAGTTAGTATAGCGGTCAATCACTAAGTTCTAATGAGGATTTCAAGACTCGAATTCTCAATCTTAAGGTAAGGAGTAAAGCCGGTACCCCAGTAGACCACCCTATTTGGTGATAACCGTTTTATTACTTGTGTCGTAAACAAATTAATACAAGTTACCAATACATCATTCAGAAACTAAAATTCATATGATAGGAAACCAAATAGAAAATTATCTATAGTATAATGATTCGTAAATTAATTATAATAATATTATTTAAACTTAATTTATTAATCTTATTTGCTAATTTTTAATTACTCATAATTTTTGGCTTGACAATGTACCAAATTATTTGTTGGAACATGTAATTAATTCAATGACGATAATGAATTAGGTTAAAAAAATTATTTTCGCTAATTAGGTTCAACGGACTTGACTGTGGCACCAAAAAAAATATAGTAACATATCTCTAAAATTTACTATTTTAATGAGTGTTTTAATAAAAAAAAATTAATTTATCAATTTTATAAATATTTTTATCACTATTGTAGGTGTTTTTATTACTAATGCAGTAATTATTTTTATCATTTTTCTTCATTACCGGACCATTAATAAAAATATTTATAATAATGATATAAATACAAAAATGTACTAATTTTTATTTTTTATTTTTTTGGATACCATAGACAAGTGGAGATTCAAATAATATTATTGAATGTATATCTATAATATAAAATAAAATAGATTTCAATAAATTAATTCGACTGTTTTAAATAAACTCATCTAATAACTATTAACATTTCTTTCATAATTATTTACATTGAATCGTACTCCTAAATACGAGTTACTCATAATTTTTGAATTAATCACGACATGACAATTTCCTCTTATTTGTCTATCCAGTAATGCTACATTAATTTAAAAATTAAATTTTATAATCAAAATTATAAAATAGGTAATAAATTTATAATAAAATTAATAGTTGTGATTATAAGACTAAATTTTTCAATCTAATAAGTCTATATAAAGCTACTTTTGTCCACGCTGTTAGCTTTGAAAGCATCCCACGTGGCCGAACAATTGTCGTCCATTTGTAATCCGGCGCATGTTAGGGTAGTCAGGAAAGAAACTCTCTGAGACTGAGGCGGACATTGCGAAATCTACAGACGGAGTTCACGAAGCACTACATGACAATCCCAACTTCAGAGCCAATAGCCTGTTGCATATCTCATATCAACAGATACACCGTTGGATCATAATCAAACGACCCCAGTTCAGTGTCGACATATAATTAGTTGCCTCACGCCACTTCCATTTCTCTTTCTCTCTCTTCAAATGCTTCTCTGAACTGACAGCCACACCTTGACCCTCCTCTCCGATGGCGTCCCTTGCTCTCACTTCGCCTCTCAGCTTAGGAGGGTTCCGATCACTCCCAACATATAGACCCCGTCCGTCCAAATCATCCCCACCGTTGAATGACCTCCACTCCACTCCCAGATCCAACGGTCACCACCGATTCTGCTCACTAAACCCAACTCCTCTTCCCTTACCTCCACTTGAACGGAACAGAATTAACTATGTTAATTTGAACAATTTACTACACCGCCGTCGAGACCTTGCTGTAAAGGCCTCCGCCGCTGGTGGTGCCGCCACGGCTGCGCCACAAGCCCCGCAACCATGGCAAGGGGCCGCAATGCAACCCTTACTAGCCTCGATAGCCACCGGAGTAATTCTATGGCTAATTCCGGCTCCGGCTGGTGTGACTCGCAATGCATGGCAGCTTCTGTCGATTTTTCTAGCCACAATCATCGGAATTATAACCCAACCTCTGCCCCTCGGTGCCGTGGCGTTGATGGGATTAGGAGCTTGTGTGTTGACCAAGACGTTGACATTCGCTGCCGCATTCTCGGCGTTTGGAGATCCGATCCCTTGGCTTATCGCCCTTGCGTTTTTCTTCGCCCGGGGATTTATTAAGACTGGGCTTGGAAACAGAATTGCGTATCAATTTGTGTCATTATTTGGTAGTTCATCGTTAGGGTTGGGGTATAGTTTAGTTTTCAGTGAGGCCCTTTTGGCTCCGGCGATACCTTCGGTGTCAGCTAGAGCTGGAGGCATTTTTCTACCATTGGTGAAGTCTTTGTGTCTGGCTTGTGGTAGTAATGTTGGTGATGGGACTGAGACCAAGTTGGGGTCGTGGTTGATGTTGACTTGCTTTCAGACATCGGTGATTTCGTCGGCGATGTTCTTGACGGGAATGGCTGCCAATCCATTGAGCGCGAATTTGACGGCGAATACGATAAATAAGACAATTGGGTGGATGGATTGGGCAAAGGCTGCATTTGTGCCTGGTTTGGTGTCTTTGATTGTGGTACCCTTGCTTTTGTATGTGGTTTATCCGCCGGAGGTGAAGAGCAGTCCGGATGCCCCAAAGCTGGCCAGGGAGAGATTGGAAAAAATGGGGCCCATGTCGAAGAACGAAATTATAATGGCTGCAACTCTGCTTCTCACGGTATGACACTTCTAAATCCTTGCTTTTTTATGTTGTTCTACTTTTTCTCGGTTTAACTGCAATGTTCATTTTCCTTGATGCTACAATTGTGTTTTGGTGTTGCTAATTGGAATTGCTTACTGGAATTGTGTTCTTTGATTCTTTTGTGTATGGTTCTTGCCTATATATTTTGCTCCTTGGATTTGACTGTATGTTGAGGTAATTTTCCTTTTGCTAGGGACTTGCAAAACTTTAAATTATGTATGATATTGATTGCTCTGCTCAAAATTATGCTGTGATTATTAAACATCTAATGATTTTGAACACCCAACTTGATTTATATGAAGGTTTGAATCTTGTAACTCAACGCTGGAGAAGATCCAAGAATGGTCTAAGTTTATCTTAGATGCCACACAAAAACTTTAGAGTCTGGATTTGTGAAGAATCGATTTAATGGCAAGATTTGTTGTGTTATGTGCAATTATACTTTGTGATTTTGTCTAATTTTTGTTGTCCAAGTTAGTTACAGAAAGTATTGTACTTCGATTGTGGGTTGTCTCATTCGGCTGATAAGATTATGGTCAGCTAATTGGTTTGAAACTGAAAAGTATCATTGATTCTATGATGTCTGTATTGGGTAGAAGCTGATATTCTCTGTTGGGAGCATGTATGACATGGCTTCATCTATTCTAGGCACCTTATCTCTAATTTGTTTGGCCTAGTGATTTATACTGGAATTGCCACATTGTCCACGACTTTGTGTTTTGATATTTTGTCCGTTATTGTTTTAGTTGCTTAAACACGTGGAAGATACTAGAAGGATTTTATGATGTCGCTAATGATAAATCAATATAACTGAAGGAATAAAAGTTAGGTAAAAGAAAATACAGCATGCTGAAATGATGTGGGATTTGCACTCCAATGTAATTAAAAGTATATTTGGGCCTCTCTCACCCGAGAGGACCACTTATCTTCATTTGGTTCTCAACTTTGAGAGGTACTCACCAAAGGGTCAGGACTTACTCTCCAACTTGAGGGCCACCAACTCTAAGGGGTGGGGTGTTGGGGGGGGGGGGGGGTCATAAAGTATCTCTCAAATAAAATTCTAAATTCCATACAACGTTGCCTACCTTGTTATGTATGTTTACATAGGTGGACAAAACTAGTCGTTGAAGACTAGTTGTAATGCAATTAAGATTGTCTTTTTTAAGAAAACTTGCTGTTAAAGAACAGAGGTCTCATGCCATAATATGAGGCTATCTTACAACATTCTCCTCAAGGAAAGAACTCGTCCTCTAATTTGAATTAGACATATTTTCATTTTTGATCAATTTTTTTCAATTCTGCTCGCTAATCCAAGTGTCTTTTAGTTTGGGTTTATTGCTCTATTTAAGAAGATATTGTGTTTAGTTCTTATTTCTGATGATGGATCTTTAGTCAAGCATACCCAAAATAGTGGGTGAATTGGTAGTTGATAAATTCATCGTGTCAACATTTGGAGAGGGTGGCTAGAGGTTGTATGCCAAGGGTAGAGATCAATTTGAGCTGAATCTTAACAAAATTTTGAGCTCGTTTTACATTCGAGTTGAGCTCGAGCAGCTCGCGAGTGGCTCGAATTTTATGGCATTAAATTCAACATCTGTGGAGAAAAATACAACATCCCACGTGTAGAATCTTTTCACTTGATTATACACGAGGAACCGCACGCTAGACCTAGAGGGGATGAATAGGTTAATTTAAAATTAAACTCAGATGACCTCCAATTTTAACCTATATCTACCCAAATTATCTCTTCTCACAATGATATGAAAATTTAATTGAGAATCTCTTTATATATAAATTGGTTTATTTTAAAGTTTGGTTTATTGAATTTTTTTTATGAAACTGTCAATCTAAAAATAACTTTCTCATTTTTTTTAATTAATTTTGAATTATTGTCCAAATATATATTTAGGCTATCCAAACATGTTTTACTGCTTTCTGTTATGTAAACTGTTTTTGGAATCATCTAACCAAACAAGTTCTTTGTCCTAAAAAATATCAAAACACGCTTTCTTAAAACTCTTCTAAAAAATTATTTTTTGAGACGCAAACCAAACAGGTCATAATATTTCGAAGTGTTTCATAATGTTCCGAGGTGTTTTGTAATGTTTCAATGCATTTGTACAATTATTTCAAAATGTTTCAAGATATTTTAAGATATTTTGGTATAATTCGATTATTGTTTTGAAAAGTAATTCTTAAATTTTTTATTTTTTTTATTCTATTTTCGAAACGAGTTGAAACGTTTTTGAAACACGTCGAAACGTTTTTGTTTTTTAGGTGATTGAAATAATACATCGAAAGAAAATTTTGATCCTTGATAGGCACTGCTCGGGCGCCGCTCAAGCGAGCTCTGTAATGTGCAAGCTCTGTAATGCCTTTCGTGGCATTTTCTCATTTCTTTTCCTAAGTTATAAAGAGACCACCCTAGCGAAAGCTAGCGAGCAGAGATTTGTGCCTATAGATTTTTAAGCATAAAATCATTCAAAAATTTGTCCTCTTGAGTACTAAAAAGTGTTGTTCAAAGAGGGGTCCAATAACGACTCAAACTATATTTTCAAAACTCATAAATTGTTTAAAAAATTTTTTCTTTTAAAATCACTTGGGAGTTATAATCGGATTGATTCTAATTCTATTTTCATCCTAATTAACCTAAGTTAAAATTAACTAAGGGTGCATACAAAGTTTATCTTAAATGTGTAGGTCATTACTTTTGCCCTAAGCATAAAGGTGCATACAAAATGTTGAATGATGTAACTTTGACCCTTTCGGATCTTGAACTTGATAACATTATGATCATGAAATAGGTTCAGATTTACAACGGAATTCACGAAATTAGCCAATTACAAATATGATTTAAAAACATCAATCAATTTCCTCGGTAAGCAACAGACAAATGATCTTTTTTGAGTAATAACTAGCATGTGACATAATAATGTTGCTGGATTTGTTTTGACTATTTCAAAGCTAAATATATCTCACTACACTCGATATTCTACCCATCATTTAGTCTAATCTCTCTCTCTCTCACTCACACAAAGATAAACATACACACCCCCCTTAGGTCTTGCAACTGTTTCCCCCTTCTCTCTTCTACGGTTTTGCTTTGGTTGAATCCTCTCTCTGTGTTAGCCATGCATTCACACCCCTCTTATGGATCGAGCTTTCAACAGTGGACAAGATGTGGTACTGGTTCTTCCTTTCGGTTTTGGATATTCTCCACATCGGCCTTCTCACTCATCTCTTCCCCCTCTTTTGTCTCTTTTTTGTTCGTAGACCTGGTTCCAATTGCTTGTCCTTCGAGTGTCTTGCTCTCCCTATGCTCAAGTTATCATAGATTTCTAAGGAATGATTATGAATATTTTTTTGGGATTTTGCAGCAAAATTTTGTATTCCAGATATTTTTTTTTTGGCATATTGCAATGAAATTTTGTATTTTAAGGTTTATTTTTGGATTTTTTTGACTGTGTCTAACAAAGCTCATTTTTAGCTTGAACTCGACTTGAAAATTTGTCAAGCCAAGCTTGCAAAAATTTGAGCTCCGGTATCAAGCTCAAGTTGAATTCAAGCAAGAACATTAATAGGTGAGTCGAGCCGAGCTTGAGCATATCCAGGCTCATGAAGTTTGGCTCGGTTATCAACCCAACCGGGGAGGTTCACTTAACTCTTATTAGTCTAACTTAAGGACGTAGGGGATGGGACTCACCCATTAATTAGAGGATCACCAGCTCTATTGGGGGCTGGAAGGTTCTCACGGATACAAAATATATATTCAAGTCATTGTTATCTTCCTCATTTTATTTGTTTACTTAGATTTAGAAAATTGGTCATTGCTACAAGAGAGATAATATTAAAAAAAAAAAAAAAGAACTAGATATTATGCTAGCCTTTAGACCATCTGTTAGTTAAGAATGGACAAATTTCGCCCCATAGCATGAGGCGACACCATCTTATGGTGGTCAAGTCTTGTAGCTTGGATTGGAAATTGCATAATTTTTTTTTTGATGTCGGGCACATTCCGTTGGTAGCAGTAAATTCTTATGCCCATTGAGTTAGTGGTGACTTTTTCAACATAATGTTTGTGGTTTGAATGGCTTCCAAGTGGAACGTGTAGCTTCCCTTGTGTTGGAAGATTGGGGAGCCTAGTGATCCAAGGTCCAATATGTATCTTTGAAGCACGGACACTGTCAAGAAGGTGACGTATTCATATCGGACACCGACATTCTCGAACCCATGTTTGATACTCTTTTATCCGTATCTATAATGAAATGATAAAATTATAATTTCGGACATGTGTTTGATACTTACTTTTGTGACGTGTCTGACATTTCTTTAGAATGTGTCTATTACTAAACAGTAAACATGTATTGAAATGTGATTAATAAAGTTTAAAAATTTGAGAACATTTAATTATTAACATTAAACATATTAAAGTTGTACTCCAAATATAATAATAAAAATAAAAGGTGTATAAAAGTTTACAAAAAGAAGAATTAAGAAATGAGAGTAATTATTTAAATTATTTATTAAGTACATATTGTTTACAAAATATTGATGATTATTGACTATAATGATGATGCTTTAGTTTAAAAATTCACACAGATGACTACACATAAGATTTACTTATCATAAAATACTGAATCTTTTATGAATTGCATATTATTATCACTATATTTGAATAAATTACATAATATTATATATAAAATATAATTTTTTTGTAGCGTATTCCAACGTGTATGTGTCCTATTTTTTTGAGAAATGTCGTATCTACGTGTTCATGTTGTGTCCCGTGTTCATGTTCGTGCTTCTTAAATATATATTTCTGGAACCCATACTCACCTAGAAGCTTAAGCCTATAGGTGATGAGTCCATCAACAGTATCTTATGACACTTTAACTTATTTTTGTATTCGATGTAGGATTCTCACACATGCAATACCAAACAATCTCCCCTTCATGTATGAACTATATTTAGGTTAGCTTCCCCTTGAGTCTGATCCATTATTTTATCCACCACTCTAGCAACACGTTTAACCACTTTTTACAAGAGTCCGCTCTTGTAAAAACCAAGCTTTTACCACTCTTTATGAGTCACCGTATTACCATTCTGCCAAGAGCCTTTGTGCTCAGGCCTACACCGTGCTCCTTTTTCTGAGTTGCATTTCGACCACTTCAATACCAAGTGCCCACAACTTTTCTTGGAGAGCCCAGTGATCTAAGACCCAATAAACATGTGTAGCACCCATACCCACCTAAAAGCTTAAGCCTATAAGTGGTGAGTCCATCAACAGTATATTAGAACACTGTAACTTATTTTTCTATCCGATGTGGGATCTCACACATGTAATACCCAACACCTTGCTCATCATTGTTATGTATTAAGCGTTCTTTTACATTGAAAAGATTATTCTGTTCAAATCATTTCTTCAGTTTTGCTTAAGCATGTTGGTATGTGTTCAATAGAATTATTTACATGCTTTTTGTACGGGGGTTTAATGGATCTAATATTTTGAGTATACCTATAGCGTTTGTTGCTTAGTGGGTTGGCTGATCTTTCATGCAATTCGGTCATGTTTGGGTTGGGTTCCTGTTGACCAATACCTGAGGTACTGTGTGTTATGTGATTCTGTCTCAGTCAGAATGCCATCTTTTTATGGCCTTTTATTGTTCGATTTCAGAATTTTGTACTAAGTAGTTATTTATGACTAGCAGGCTGCGCTAATCTTATCTTTTGCCCTCCTTTAAGCTGAAGATAACCTGTTGCAGTAGTTAGATGTTTCAAAATCATTTGTTTCTGCCGGGGAGTCAAACAATAAAAATGAATTGCGTCGCAAAATCTTTAGGTGGGTTTAATGCAAAGAATCTCTAGTCTTTAAAGAATGTTTTGATTTGTATTGCCTTCATTATAGAGATATGCGATCACTATAAGACATATAGATCAGATGCATGAAGGATGGTCATGCTCTGTGTAACATATTTTTAGCTGTCTCTTGATGATTCGAGGTTGACTGCATGAGTTTTGTTTTGCCATTCTGTGTTGTCATTTGCTATATTAGGTGTCAAAGCGTAGGGGTTTTAACTCTATATTTATCATTTCACCCCCGAGCTTTGTTGTCCTTTGCATGTCTTTTAATCTCTTGCTTGGAATCTTATCTGCTTTAGATTAGGTCTTTGTATGCATATGGATGATTGGTAAATCATCCCAGTTGATCTTCTCACCAATTTTCACTGATGAATGCTACATTTATGTTGGCAGATTTTTATGCTTATGGCTAAACTTCTCATGCATTCGCTTATGGATACTTTTTTATGTATCAGGTTTTCATTTGGGTTGTAAGACAAACATTGTCATTTACTCCTATTCATCTTGCCTTAATATGGCTACTTGGCTAGCACCTCCCTCTTTAATCTATCCTTTATGTTCCCTGAAAATGGTCCTTCATGCCTTGTGGATGCCTCTTATCCATTGATATTTGTCCTTAATTCATATGCAGCTAGCATTAAATTCTGCATATTCCATCCAAGTGTGATATAAAGAACTAAAGCACCCTTTTCTACAGCTATCCCTCTACCAACAAAGCTAATGATTTCTATCAGTTTCCTGTTTCATGTCTACGCTAATAACTGTATACCCACTACCATATTTTATCAGCAGGACATCACATTTATTCCATTATATCATTACCTTAATGCCTTGCATATCAATTATTGCCCTCATTATAAAGAGTTGCTAGTTAGTAAAAATCCCTAGTCACGAGCACATTTTCCTACCTTTATTGGAATACTAGTTTGCCCACAAAATTTACTCACTTACATCCTCTGTCAGGTGTTCTGACCTTTATTTTGACCAGTTTACAATATTCTTTAAAACTTATGTGGTCATGATTCCAGAACTGAATTTTTCTTTGCTTTGTTGAAATTGAACTTTTTAGTTGATTGTAATGTCATTGATAATGGAAAAAGATAAATGCTATAAAACAGAATGGCTGCTGAAATTGTTGCCTAAATCACCAGCATGGGAAGTATGAGATAGACAGAGTTTGACATAGAAATATCGAATTGGTGGAGTTGCCTTACAACTTGATGTGATGACATTAAAAAAACATTTCAACTGCATGTAACCTTGTTAACTTCAGCATTAATAAAAATGTTTTGTTTTTCTGTTTTCTTTCTTTATTTTTCTTCTTTTTTTCCTTTTCCTTTCATCTTCTCTCTCTCTTTCTTTCTTTATTTATTTTTAATTTTTTCGATAAATAGTATTGTGAGCACTTTTAAGCATGTGACATCTATTAGACCTTCACCCACACCGATATAATTGTGTTTTCCAAATTTTTCAGAACTGGCCTTCAGAGTTCAGATGGTTGTGGATAAGACTCTTTATTTTAATTTCATTAGTTTGGCAATTGACACTTTGTTGGTTAGTGCCATAATTGGACCTTGATATATCTTGGATTATGTTCTCAATTCTTCTCTTTATCTCTACATCTACGTGTGAATTGGGATTGCATGTTGGGGGGAGTGTTAGAGCTTGAATCACATTGATAAAAAAACATATCCCGAACTAGCATAACCCTTGTGTTCCTCCACACTCATAGCAACTAGTGTTGAGCTAGATCCTTTAACATGGTGGTATTAGACTTTGGCACGAGGAGTCTTTTAGGTAAGACTCTGTATTTCATAGTAATTTGTTTCTCCTTTGTTCATATCATAAGCGCACCTTGTTATATGTTAATCCTATTTTTCGGATCTTCTATCTACAACTCCATCGTGAGTGGGGGTCACACATGTGGGTAGTGTTGGAGCTTCTCCCATATCTAGAAAATGACTCATCCCAAACAAGTATACAAAGCGTTTTGACCCTCTCCAGTACTTTTCAAGCGATTTTGAGTTTGATGCTCAGTTGGGCTTCTGGAGGCTTTGGGCTGTGTTTCAATTTCTGTCATTGGTACTGGTTTCCAACATATGTTTGTGATACAAGTGCTCCTTGTTATGTCACAAGATGTCTTCTGTTTCTTTTGTTTATGTCTCCACATGTGAGTGGGGATCATGTGTCTTGAAGTTTTAGAGCTTATCCCACTTTGATACAATTATGCCTTTTTAACTAGTACTTGAGCCTTATGGATCTCTTCATTTCTTGCCAATTAGTTTTTAGTTGCATGCATTTTAGCAATACCATGTCTTTTTTGTGGTAGGTAGATAAATTTTATTTCCGAAAAAAGTAAAGGTATTACAATAAAGCTCAAAACGTGTGCCCAAAGGATAACCAGAGCAGATCTCATAAAGGAAGAGCTCTTCACAACCTAGCCAATGAATTCAAAAAACTAAAAATATATCTCTCACTACCCAAGAGAGTCAGAGACTAGGTGCGCAAAATCTTCAGAAAGATTTCTCTCTCACAACCCAATATATGCATCACAACTCTAGAGCGTGTTGGGTTGTAAATTTTAATAACCGGAAAACCACAATCAAACGGATTTTGAACTGTCCCCCTTTTCTTTTTCCTTCTTTTCATTGTACATTATTTGTTGCTGTTTATTTATTTATTTTATTTTATTGCCTTTTTATTTCACAATCTAAGCTAATATCTGTGTATTAAATTTCTGGCGGGTATATTTGATTTTCTCGGGCAGAAGCATAACATTATCCAGCTCAAGTTAAGTTGTAACTTTTGGTAACTGAGTTGATTAACTAATGTCATTTTGCAACATCATTAACTTAATGCATCCTATGACATTCCTCTCCCAGTTCTGCCATATCCAATATCATTTGCTAGTCCCTATCTTAAAAATTTAACCATTACAGCTGATGTGGTAATTTGACATGGTTTTTATTCCATGGAGTACATCTTGCTGCATGAATTAACTATTAGATGGTTGTTATTAAGCCCACAAGGTTCATACTCTGGGCTGTGATCTCTGGGTCCTTTATTAAAGAACTTACCTGTGATCGACATGGATTTAGGTATGTGTTTGGTTGGTCCTACAATTTGAATCTGTGCCAATTGCCAGCCTTTTGGATGAAATCCTTGCTAGGCGCCACATTGCATTTTTGAGACACCATGAGGGGCTAGGCTATCAGCTCCAGTGGCAGGTCCTTATTTGAAGATAGGTCCCCAAGGTTAATGCAGCAAGTCCAATCAATTACACACAATAAACAACCCCAAAAGTTCCCACATGTGTCTGCATGCATGCCATATTTGTGTGTGATAATATCTGCTTTCTGAGTAGTCATTTACCCATAACAACCTATTTGGAAACACCATCATAAGTATATAAATCATCTTCCATCATACTTATATCAATCATCTTGAGCATCAAACTTATGACGGTGTTCTGTCTCCAAACTTTTGAGCATCAAGGCCATGAATTTGTGTATGATGGCCTGCAGTTATATTGCAGTATCATAGATATTTACAGAATGATTGTGTGCATGTGTGTTAGTGAATTCTCACCCTTTCTGTTCTGTATTATATCAGGTTGGGCTCTGGGTTTTTGGAGGAGTGCTGAATGTAGATGCTGTTACTGCTGCCATTCTTGGTTTATCTGTTCTCCTTGTGACTGGAGTTGTGACATGGAAGGAATGCCTATCTGAAGCAGTTGCTTGGGATACTCTCACATGGTTCGCTGCCCTAATCGCCATGGCTGGTTATCTGAATAAATATGGTCTGATAGCCTGGTTTAGCGAAACCATTGTTAAGGTTTGTCTCGTACTTTGTATGTCTTCTTTCAATTGAGTCATTATTTTTGAACTTTAGCTTTATTATCAATATAGTGTGGTGGGTAGCCGCAGTTACTTGTGATGAGGTTAGATTGGTTTTACAGACTCCCAGTCAGTTGAAACACTAAACTGACCAAAAATTTTTGGTTTGCCTAAATATGGTTTCTATCAGTTTCTAGTGATTTTGAGTCATCCTCACTGATTGGGCCCTCTATGTACCATTTTTTTTGGAAAAAGATCTCAAATTAGAAATAAAATTCCTACATGTCCAATTGTACACACCTGCATGTACTCTCCTTTTTCCTTTCTAGTTTGTTGAGTCAATAACTGCTTTAAAAGTTTTGGCTTTCTTACTCAACTATCCTTTTCTCACCTCCTTAATTTTTTGTTGTTTATTAATCATTCTACTTTTTCATTGTCATGTTTGTGTTTTTTTTCCTTTTTGCTTCAAGTCTAAGGAGCACGGATAGTCGCATACTGGCATGGACGTGGATACAACACGACATGACAAGGAAATGATATTTCTAAAAAAAAGTAGGAACACATATACGTTACAAATAATTATTTTTTTAAACATGAAATGATATGATTTCTCACAAAGAAATATTTATAGCATTTAGGAGAATTCAATAGTTTATGATAAGTAAAACTTGTGACTTTTATACATCTTTTATTTTAGATTTTATGTACAGCTTTAACATGGCTAGTCTTTACAATAATATATTACTTCACAGTATGAGAGATTTATTTTTCAAATGTTTGAGCTTTGTTAATTACATGTCACTACAGTATTATTTTTTAGTAATAGACATGGTCTTATGAAGTGTCAGACTTGTCACCAAAAAAGTGTCGGACTCGTGTCTGAACGTTAAATTTTATCTATTGATTGTATACATTGATAAAATAGTGTTAGACACGTGTCTGAAATGTCAGTGTCCAACACATATTTGACACGGATATATCACCTTTTTAAGAGTTTTTGTGCTTCTTAGCTACAAACAATGCTAGAGTATGAGCCATGATAATTTTTTGTATATTGCGAGCTCTTTCACACGTGTTGCAAACCTTTGTCTTAAAGTTTGATGACTCCTAAAGCCCTCTTGTGTTTTGCTAGAAAATATTTTTTGTCATTTCTCTTTTTCCTCTCAATCTTTTTACTTTATGTTTGCTATACTACCATTGGACATGTGTCTCCATTACAGAAGCTCCTTTATTCTAATTGGAATGTCCTCTTTGATCACTATTTATAGTGAAAAGAGTATAGTTCTTATTTTAATAGTTATTTTAGTTTTGGCAGTGAAGTGTGCTGGGGCGGAGCTAACTGCTCCCGCTCAATTTTTTTGTCCAAATATTTTTTTATATAAATTTTAATATATTCTAAATTTTGCCTTCTCATACATTTTAATTTACTTAATAATTTCTAGCTTTAATGTTAAATTTCTTTACTCGATTAAGTAAAACTTGATCATTGGTTATGTAGTTGAATCTCTCAACACATGTTCAAGAAATTTTGGAGCTTTTCGTTCTCTCCCGTATATCAAGTCCTCTTACTCTCAACTTTGTAAATTTGATACATCGCCAAAAAAAAAAAATACTCTCTCACATGCAGGATAAGAGTATGTACATCTTATTCTAGACCTTGCAATAACAGAAGCAAAACGTTGGGCCACCTCTTTTAATTTATTACTACAAAATTTTAAATTTTACTTTCGTTGTTACTTACTTTTAATTGAAAGGTGAAATTTAATAATCTAATGTATTGCATTGTTAAATTAGAATATGGTATCAACATTAAATGCATGTTATTTGTTAATCCAACGGTAGTAATGCAGTAACTTTTCAAATTTAGTACATATAGTATTGTTGTTAAAATTTTTGCTCCCACTACCCCAAGTTTCTAGCTCCGCCCCTGAGTGTTTGAACCCTTAAAAGGCTTGTAATGAAAAGTTCAGGATCCAATTACTTTCCCCAAGAGGTTTATCATGCTTATAAGTTAAGGATGACAATAAACCAGTATCTTGTTATCTGATTTTATTATGGTAGCTTGATTGTCCATCGAGGAGTACATATTATTAAGTTCAGGGCAATATTCAGCTGAATCCGTGGCAGTTAAGCATAGAAAGCATAGACAATCCTTTTTCTGGGTCCTTTCTGGTAGTAGTCATGTGTCTGTGTGAATATGCCTGCTGTTCAAAATTTAAGATTCAGTGCCAAGGACCCCGTCTTAGATGTGCACTTTGATGCGTGATGCTGCTGCTCATAACATCTATCGAATTATGCAATATGGACATTCATTTTGAGATATATTGGCTAATTCGAATTTGAACAAAGAAAATGCAAGTTACTTGCTAAATGTATGCATTAAATATTAACTTTCTAATTGATTATTTCCTTTGCAGTTTGTTGGAGGATTGGGTCTTTCGTGGCAGGCTTCCTTTGGCATTCTCGTTCTTCTCTATTTTTATTCTCACTACTTTTTTGCAAGTGGAGCTGCTCACATTGGTGCCATGTTCACAGCTTTCTTATCAGTTGCTAGTGCTCTAGGTACTCCACCTTACTTCGGAGCTATGGTGCTCGCCTTTCTCTCTAATCTCATGGGTGGCCTCACCCACTACGGGATCGGGTCAGCTCCAGTTTTCTATGGAGCTAACTATGTTCCCCTTGCAAAGTGGTGGGGCTATGGATTTCTCATCTCTATTGTCAATATAATCATTTGGCTTGGAGTGGGAGGGGTTTGGTGGAAGTTCATTGGCTTGTGGTAAAGAAGCTTGTTAGGATTATTTCCAGACCCGATTTTTAGCAATAGTTTTACCTACATGCACCCCCTTAGTTTGATTTTCCATTTCCTACTGTTTTTTTAGGAAGGCCGTTGAGTCATAGCTTTTGATTCTTTATCTTGGAAATAAATTTTTGGTTGGTGGAAAGAACTGAGATCGTGTAGGTTAAAATGATATACACATGAGGTCTTTTTTTATAGCAGAAAGTTACCACTTTGTACTTTGAATTTTGACATGATGAGGCTATAAAGTTATTGGTTGGTCGTTTGAAAGTTGCTATTCTTTGGTTCCCATCCACACATTGGTGATTATGAAGTTTGCTAGTAGTGGTGGACTTAGTTGAATGCTTTTTAAGCACAATAATATTAATGACATAAACTACATATTAACTGCACTTTTATTTGTAACGAATGATTTTTTTTTTGTTTGCCACATCAAACATGCCCTAAAAATGCAAGCTTGGGTTCTAAAATAAGGTAACTATTAGATTCCTAATGGTTTTCTAATGCATTTTGTTATATCCTGAATATGAAGTTGATGCTGTAGTAAATCTCTTATTTTTTTGATAATAAACACAATTACATATGTGAGTCAATTATGTTAAGAGAAAATTAGTTTATTATAAATTAATTTTGATGTTTAGATTAAGAAAAGAATCGGAATAGGTATACGAATAGATATCTATAACCCTAACGGGTAGTTTAAAAGATAATATATATTAGCTGTAAACTTAAATGTCTTGAGTTTGAATTTTGACAATCTTTTGGAGTTAGGTAATGAAAAGTTTTATATTTTTTTATCTTTCATAAATATCTTAATTCCAGCGTGTATGATTTGCCTTTTAATTGGATTGGGAAGAAGATTAATCGAAGTGCGAATAAATTGGACTGGACACTTCTCACAAAAAAGAAAAAAGAAAAAAAGAAATAGATACCTATGGAAGACTATAAGGATGTGTTTGTTTGGGGGATTAGTATTTATAAGATTGGCTAATGTATTCCATGTACTTCTAATACGGAGAGAATGTACTACTGAGTATAAAAATTAAAATAATCTCATCTCATGTTTGTTTGAGCAATATGTTTTATTATGAGATCCATTACAAAACATTTATTATGTCACATCTCTTATTACAAATAAACTTATTTACCCTTAATAATATCTGTCCGTTACATTCATGTGAGAGGCTTACAGTGATAAATTTGAGCCTCATACTATTGGTGGCTCAAATCCCTCCAATTAATACCACCTACATTAATGTCATCTACATGGGATTAATGGTACTATAGATATTGGGTCAGTATTGAGATCCGAACATTACTATTACACATAAAAACGCAAACAAATAAAGTATTAATTGACCTCACGAATTATTTCACCCAATCCTCACTCCCTTGTATCACTATTATATTGCAAACAAACACACCCTAAGAGTTGAAGTTTGTTATAAAATGGAAGTTTCCACTCCAAACATCATGGATGGTAGAAGTAGATTCAACGTAGACCTGGGCATTCCACTACCACATTAATTCAATTAACCAAAAATTTATAGGAAAGAGTAGAGGAAACTAACGGCAACCCTATGAACCTAAAAATCCAACCAAATCAATTCAGGGAACTTACATTCAAATAAAACAAAATCGCAAACACACCCATATCACCTGCGCTGGTGAGAGCCAGTGAGGTACAGACGAGTGAGAGCGAAGAGAAAGGAAAAGATAGAGAGGGACAGGGGGCGAGATACTTGCACTTGGCTAGCGTTACGGTGGTGGTGGGTCGCGTTGGTGGCTAGTTGGCGGTGGAAAAGAGAGGGAGGAATGGGAAGGAAGGATCTCGGGCAATGGGCTGGACAGAGATGGGATTGGGCGGAATATTTTATGAGGAGTATATTTTCAACTTTTAAGCTATCTGATTAGATAGATAATTTTTATATGAACAATAATATTAACAGTATAGAATTAGCAAAGAGTACAACTGAAAAATAGAAGTGTAGAATATTAGCTCAATAGTCACAATAATAAATAATATAGCATTAATGTTGTTATTCTACCTCAAAAAGAGTATTATAATCATTATTTCTTTTATTAAGGCAATTATAATCAATCAATTAAATTTTTTTTTTACTTTTGTTGACATAATATTGACTGTATAAAATTATCTAAGGGTACAACTGAAAAATAAAAGGATAGAATCGTTGCTCAACAACCACAATTACAAATAATTTAGTATTAATGTTGTTATTTTAATTCAAAAAGGGTATTATAACCATAAGTTACTTTATTGAGACTATTATAGTCAATCATTTTTTTTTACTTTTGTTGATATTTATATCCGTAATAGTTATTAGATGAACAATAATATTGATTGTATAGAATTAGTTAAGTGTACAACTAAAAAATGAAAGTGTAGAATGGTAGTTCAATTCTCGCAATTTCAAATAATACAATATTAATGTTGTAATTCTAACTCAAAAAATGTATTATGACCATTACTTATTTTTTTTTTACTTTTGTTGACATTTTATAATAGTATAAATGTATTGTCCTTAAAATTTATAGTATTATAGTCTTTCATTTAACATTATATTTTATTCTCTGATAAAAGAAACAACATTATATTTTATTCACTTCTACGAAAATTATTATGAAAAATAGGAATTGTATGGCTGGTTATAATTTTTTATGGTAAAATTATATCTTTAAAAAGAGAAATTATAGTTACTTAAGAGGAGACCATAATCGATTATGAACTTTTAGTATTAATTTCAACCCTCCATTATTAATTAATGCCTTTAAAAAATTATAACTTACATCTTATAAAAATTATAACTTAATTTTAAAAAAATTATAATTTTTAATACTGTATCTGTACAGGGGAATTCCTGTAACAATTTGAGATAACGACCTTTAGTCTGGTGAATTTGCAATGATCACAGGGTCAAGAAAAGGGGCTAGATAAACATTCGGTTTATTCCCTCTGAAACTTAAGTCAGTATAAGATTTGAGAATTTAGCACAATATATCATGTGTCGTGGTTTAATAGCAATGAGTGCAAAAATTTCAAGTCCCATCTGAATATTCAATGCCTGACACTTTTACCCATGAAGATCTGAATGTTCTTCACCCAGATCTTTACATATTTAATGTCAGGATGATATGACAAGTGTTCGAGGACGCGCTGAGCACTTATGGTTATTCCAGAGCACTCAAGTGTCTATAATTGACACCTGACACTTACTATTATGTGTTCCATGCTCGGAGAAACAATATCTCGGTGCGCACCGAGGAGATACTCTCGGCATATCAACAATTAATGTTTAGTCATCATAATTTCAAACATAAGCTTTTGAGGGTATAGAGACTCATTAATGATATTGTCTCTATCACTCATATCACCATAAATGAGTAATCGAGTCACATTAAGTGTGTATCAACTTGTGTATTTGGCTCCTCCGAGCCCTCCTCTCTTGGGTACAATCTTTGGAGTCCTTTAGGCTCGATAACACCCACAATTTAACACGTGTTAATTTAAAGGGCCGCTAAACCGTCTAAAGTCCCGCCAGTATGCCTAACACCCGATACCGAAGCCTTCCGTTTTTTTCCAAACGCACGTTCAGACGAGCCCTATTTAGACTTATTTGTTGGCTATCAGACATGTACAAACCATCCAATCCTTATGAGAGTGTTTTCAGCATTGTCATCGTGTATTTTGTTTTTTTGTTGGCACTACTTAATCAATGGACAGGGGCGACTGTCTCCCACGTGCAGCATTCGGTTCTTAAAGCAGATCTAATTTGCAACCGGCCGTCCACATGTTGGGACAGTTTTATTATGTCTGATCTTGTCTTCACAAAAGTCAAAAACAAAAATAAGTGAAATTTACAGCAAAAAAAAATTAATTCTCAATTTATAAAATTACAATAATAATTAAGATTCATCTAATTTTTATTTAATTTAATTTAATTTAATAATATCAAATTTATCCCAATTTTTTTTCTCTATTCAAAAATATTATTATCTCTACTGTTCCGTTTGATAGGGAGGATAAAAAATAGGAGAGATACACTTTCTATCCTTTAAGAATGAAAAGTAAGAATGATACAATTTCCTTCTTTTGTGTTTGGTTGGATGGATGAAAAATAAAAATGACTTTTTTTTTTGTTGGCTAAGATTAGAGGTGACAATCGAATCGAGTCGTGTCGTGTCAGATTCGTGTTGAGTCATTACGAATTTGTGTCGAATATTAGTCAAACTTAACTTAACTTATTTAACTAATTTTGGTAAGTTTGGAGGGGAAGTTAATCCATCTATTTTTCTATCCTTCCTACTTTCCTTCCTTATCAAACATGATGTTTTATTTATTTCTCAAACTTTTCATCCTCTCACTTTTTCATCGTACCAAATGGAGCATACATGACTCTTAATATTAGACAACCCCGTTAATCCACACTTATATATCTCTCTCCTACATCTCTCTTAAAGAAAAAAAATAAAAAAAAAATTATTATTTAAAATATACATATTACATGATAAATAATCGATTTTTAAAATTAAAGAGTATTTTTCAAACACAAAATTATTGCCGGTACAAGTGTAGTATTCTATAAACAGACTAAAAAATTTATACTTTTCCGAATGTATTCACAACAATACATTTACCATGCTGCTTTGTATGCAAATTCTTATAAAAGAATTGTGATTTGTATTTTCTTTTTTGAATGTAGAATAATTAGTTCTTGAATCTATATACTATGCTAATCTAAGTGTAGCATAGTAAATTATTTATCACATAAAATAAACTCATCATAAATGGCATATGCAAGTCAACTGAGTCATGGTGGATTGTTCTGCAATGTAATTGCTTCCGCTCTATCAAAATCTCTCAAATAAAATCTAACTCACTTGCGTAATTGTAATTGTTTTCTATTGACAAAGCTGGCACCATAAAAAAAGTGAGAAAATTTGATATTTAATTTTCGATATTTGATTTAAACGTCACTAATTTGTCCCCGCCGAAAATTATTAATAATTTTTTTTTTTTGCCTTAATTTCTGGCGTACAAATTATTAATAAAAATAATAAAAAAAAAAATTCCTTAATTTCTGGTGTTTAAGCCAAACGCCACATAATTTTAATTAAAAATAATAAAAAACTTTTTTTCTTCCTCCGCCAACGTTCACTCTAATTTTTTCCCCAATTGGCTGGACTTCTCTTGCTTTCACTCTCTGGACTGTTCAGAGGGTGTTGCGGTCCTCAGTCAAAGCCAGATCATTGAAGGCACAAGTTTTTGGTTTGTCCATCTATTCTGATTCAGTTCTCGATTTCGTGGCTCGTTGTTTTATGTGAATCTTATGGATTAATTAATTCTAGATTTGCATTTCAGCTGCTTAATTTCGCCGAAGCAATTAGTAGTAGTCGGAGATCACCGGAGAAATTGTTCCAGATTTTGGACCTTCATGACGCTTTGTCGGACTTGTAGCCTGATATTAAGGTTGTCTTTCAGTCAAAGCAATCGGAATCGATTAGGGTTCAGGGAGCGGAAATATTGTCCCGGTTGGCCGAAGTGACGAGAGGAACATTGTCTGAATTTAAGAACGCTGTGCTTCGCGAGCCGTCGAGGATTCCTGTGCCTGGAGGTACAATTCATCCCTTGACTCGGTATGTTATGAATTATATAAGTTTGATATCGGATTATAGCCAGACATTAATGGAATTGATTGTATCCAAGCTATCAACGGGGTGGAGGTATACCGGTGATCCTAATATGCCTATGTTCGTTGTTGATATTATAATTTTATTCTATTCTTCAAGATGATTACTATAATCTATATAATGAAGTCACATTCTTCGTTAGTGCAGTTCCATGTGCCATTATTGACCATCGTGAAATCTCCTAATCCACAGTTATGAAAAGACTCCGACTCGTTTCTTCTGAGTTTGTACTTTATAAGTGTGATTTACCAAATATGAAATAGAATACCACGCTCATGTCGCAATTTTCTTCTTGCATCCTTGAGAGCATATTTGATTTGACCATCATAAGTGTAATCTAGCTGATAATGCTGATTTATATTTTTCTTTTGTTATTTGTTTGCAGTGCCTTTTGTACTTTATTCAACTTGAGAGCAAATTGTATTTTACTGTGTCGTGATCAAGAAGAGAGGTACAGCCTTAAAACTATCACTGATTCCATAAACGTAATAACAAATTAAAAGAAAGAAAAACAAGGGAAGAGTGCTTTTATGCTGGTTCATTTTTGTAATTTATCCCTATTTTTCATGATTTTTCTTTCCTCTTCTTTACTGTGGATGACGACTTTGAGAACAGATATGCCAAGAGATTTCCGGTCTATGTTTGGCATGTAAAACATGCTTAGTAAGATTAAGTTTTGGGCGCATGCTTACAATCACACATGTGGAATGGAATGAAAGATTTGTTATGAGCTAGATCATCATCAATATGTTAGACATCAGTAATTTAATTTAAGCTTTGTTATGTGTTACATGTAATTTAAGCTTTGCATCATGTAATTTGTAGCAAAATTTGGTTTGAGTTTGATGGATTTTTTGTGCTTCTTGGGTTTTAGTTACATGTAATTTGTAGCAAAATTTGGTTTGGGAGAAGTTTTGCTAATGAATTGTTGTGTTCTGCTTATGTGGTCTTCAGTCGTGTACCAAACTTGGGTTCTTTGATCCTAGGTCAAAGAACTAGATAGCCTTCCCACTAACTGTCCCGAGTGCTTCAGAGTTTACAGTGTATTCAATCGTGTCAATTGCCTTTCTTATTTACTTCATCTACTATAGTTATCTTCCATGCCCTGGTCTTTTCCTACCCTTCTTGTGGTTAAAATTAAACTGGTCACATTCATCAGATGATCATTATAAACCATAAACCTATGATGAATGTGCCCATTGTTGCAATGTTACCCGACTGTAATGGTAAAACTCTCGGCTTTAGTGTTGCCTCTGCTTCCTTGTGCTTTGTTTGCCATTCTTGTCTACCATTTAGTGAATAAATATTTGTTTCTCATACACATGGTATAACTGCCCAAGGATAAAATTCCACATGTTCACGAAATAACTAGCTCGGATACATGGTACCCGCTTCGTGAGTTAATTTGATTGTATTAAAGCTGCTTGATCTTCTATCTCATATAACATAATTACCACATGCATGTTATTCATATCTTGTGTTTACCCATTTCATGAGTTTTGATTGTATTAAAGCTGCTTAGCTTGATTTTCCATCTCATAAAATTGTTCTTTTCTTGTTTGTTCCAGTGCACACAGATTAGGAACAGCAGCACTTTCAGCAAAAGAACAGGAGGCTCTCCCATTTTGCGCCATTGCATATGCTCTGACTGGTATATTTGGTTCTTTGATTTGCTCAGTTCCGGCGGTCAGGCAAAGCTTAATCAGATGGTGCATTGGACTCCAAACATATATTTTTTTTTTGACTCAAGTTTCTTTAGCATTACTAAGCATTGGCTGCAAAATGCTACATTGTCCAATAATTTTTTTTAAGTTGAGACTGTTTGTCAAATTTATCTTCCCTCCTTTTCTGGGTGTTGGGGGGTTATTGATTAAAAAGCCAGCTACGTTTTATGCTGCTACATCTTTGTTTCCTGATGTGGTTCATTCATTTGTCTCTGATTTTCTCAAGAAATTGAACTGAAGGTCTGAATGTAAAGCAGCTTGAATATAGAAAACATTTTTGTGGGCCGTATTTCATGTCTGTAAAATTTTGTTGCATCCATCTGGGTCCTGTACATTGTCATTGCTTGTTTCTTGTAATTTCTCTGATTTATAAATAAATAAAATTTTTATTTAAAAAAACAAAAAAAAAAGATTACCAGCGTTTATTTAAACGCCAGAAATTAGTTGCTCAAAAATAATAATTACTGGCGTTTATATAAACGCCATAAAATTGCTCTGGCAGCAGGAATTTTACAATGAAGTCGTCGATTAAATAAGCGTCGCTTTAGCGTTTAACAAACGGCACTTTAATTTTTGTGACGTTTAATTATACGCTGATAATTTTTCCGATAGAGCTTTCAGCGGCGTTAAGGAAAAATGTCAATAATAATATTTTATAGCGTTTTTTTATATTTAGCGGCGTTTATTAAACGCCGATAATAATCATTTTTCTTGTAGTGTGGGGGTGCTGAGAAAAGTTTACAAAAGCTCTCTTCGAACTAGACGAAGAAATGATATTTACATAGACCAATACTGCTGAAAAAAATCACTAACAGTAGGCCCTTGGGCAAAAATGTTAAAAGACCCTATTAATATTTATTTAATAATAATAGTAGTATTAAATATATTTATTTAGAAATTATTTATTTTTCCTTTTGAGATACAACATATTAATTAAAATTTCAAATTTAAATTTTGTAAATAAAAATTAAATTAATCGAAGTCCAATACGGAGATCAAATGCAATGATTACATTCTATTTGTTTAAGATAAAAAGAAATATAATTGAACATTAGTTTAACAAATAAAATAATTTTTTTCTAAATGAATATAAAAATAGGAATTTACACAAATTGAGTGGTTATAAAATAAATGAGACATTTTTAAATATTATAGTAAAACATGGCTATTTTTAAATAAAACAAACTTAGTAAGACAATTATGATTAATTAACAGAAAAAAACAGAACAAGTGGCAACAATTTATGACACATGTCTACACAATAACCGAACAAGTGGCAACGATTATCAGCTGACATAAAAATGGGCCCTAATCGCATCCGCTTGGACAATATAGATAACAGTGTCATGTTCGATGCTTAAGACGCGACACCCCATGTGTGACATCCCAGGTGCGACACCCAAGGTGCGACGCTCTCAAGCGTGACACCCATATGCGATGTCCCCAGGCACGACACCCCATATGCAATGCCCCTAAGCGTGGTGACCAAGTTGCAATGCCCAAGGCACGACACCCCAGGTATGACTCCCCCCAAGCACGACAACCAATATGCGATGCCCCAGGCGCAACATTGCGACAGGGCGAAACACATTCCAATTGCATTAGAAGTGGCAAAAATGATCTTTCACCAAGGATGGACAAAAGTCGAACTGTAGAAGTCTCGGGCCAACCTCAGTGAGATTTGTCTCTCCCACTGTGGGAGTGGTATCCAGAACCTATTAGACATCGTTGCTCGACAAAGGTCTTAAGGAAAGGTTTAGAGAGCGAAAGAAAGGTCCTGTGTAGGAGCTCGTTGAGGGCATCGCGGACATAGCTCTCTCGAGGCCATGGTTCTGCGGTGACTAGTCACGGTCATGGACCTTGGGAGCCTATTTTCACCTTGGTTGTCGCATCTTCATCGGAGACACAACCAAGTTACATTTGGGAAAACATCACATCTGCCTAGTTAATATTGGGACACGTGACTCATGGTTAACGACCACTAGTATCGTCGCGATCAAGGCAGTTAGGGGTTCGCACGAGTGGTAAGGGGTCGCGGTGGGCATCCCAACTTGTCCGGGCAGCCTAACTTGGCCAGACACTGTGCTATAAATACCCACATTACTTGCCCACTACAGAGAATGAGAGTTTCACTTGGATGGTGAGAGCATTTTACTCCACCTACTCTCTGCCCAACTGGTTTGTCCCTTCATTAATAGGTTGCTCAAGTTCTTTCCATCCCATCTGCTTATCTTGCTCATCTCCTTTGATCATTCTTGACATATACACGTGTGACAACCTCTTTTAACCCCCCACCTACATTCTTTTGGCAACTCCACTAGGGAGGTTTGTCCTCGCTAGCCTATGCCTATTACAACTCGGAGTGGAAAAGTATTGTCTAATACCATGATTGGAAACAACAATGACAAGGAAGACGGGCAGCAGAAAAACCTGCCTTGTTGCGAGGATAGCCATGGTTCCTCTACAAGCCAAAAGGCTCTGGTTGTGCGAGGACCCTTCACAATGGCGTAGGCTCTACATGATATGCAGATTTTGCAATAGTAGATGACTGCGGTAGTGTAGATGATGCAAGCTCAAATGTATTTCTAACCACCTGGCTTACAAAACCCACTGATGTTCTTGCCATTACTCTCACACTACCCAATTCCACCGCCTTCAACTTTGCTTGAATCATCTCTAGTGGCACTGTCAAGCAATAATGGTGCATCATGGAAGCCAAGCCCTTATGGCTTAACAGTGCAAAATTCTGCCAGTGAACCCCTACCACTTCCACTATAAATTGATGCAACTAATCCCCTAGTTCCCTCGCAGCAAATTACCATAGGCGATCCTCTAGCACTTTTACAGCAAACCACTGCAACTGGCTCTCTAACTCTCCTATAGCAGGTAGCTGCAGTGAGTCCTCAAAATGTCACAATCCCTGAGGTACCCACTGTAGTTAGATTTGCAACCATGACTGGTGCACATCTCCTAAACTTTCTAATAGCTCTCGAATGTGAACACGCTACGAGTAGCTACAACTATGGCCTCGCAGATTTCCAAATGACCCCTCTTATAATTTTTACGATGGCATTGATGACTACCTAAGTGTGAGGTCAAACTGTTTTTTTCACTATTCGCACAACCATGCCTTCAACATTTCCAGCCCCCGTCGCCATCACCTCGTTTCCATCTCCAATCGCTTGAGCGCCATACTCGGCCAACACAGAACGACTAGTGCCCAGTGCTAGGTTTGTCATGCTGGCCCAAGTACAGGTCTTATTAGATAGACAAAAGAAGCCTAAGCCAACAACCATAGACATAATATTTACCCCGGCTATGTAACAAGCTATGTATCTTGTGGGGTACTCACCGCCGAAGTTCGAGAAGTTCTATGAAAAAAATGGCAACCCTGGGACCACATTACCTTCTACCTTGATAGCCTTGGCCACTATGTGATCCATGAACCTCTTTAGATGAGGAAATTTTCCAAGTCCCTCAAGGACAGGGCCTTCACCTGGTATGCTAACTTCCCGATATAATCGATGAGGGACTAGGACAACTTGGTTGCACAATTCTAAGTAAAATTCTTTGATTCTGAATAGCCTATGACAGTACTCTCCCTGACAAAGACCATTTAGGGTAATAGAGAAGCCCTAATGTCGCCATAGCAGATGTCGCAGGAAGTTTGCCTATCACAATCTTCGCGCCAAAAGACTTCCTAAGATAGCAAACTGTGTATCTAGAAGCCTCTTATGCAGAAAGACCTTGGTGAAAAAAATATAGATAGATGAATGTACAAACAATCAAAAAAAGGGTATAAAAAAAATTCCAAGTGCCAAAACACCAAGCAACAGAATGAGGAGCTTTACCTTCCGTAGATAATGAAAAGGAGAATCGACAACAGGGATGAGGGACAGTGCTGGAATTGCCCACCTCGACCGGGTTCTATGTGCTAGACAACTAGAGTGAGAGGTGCTAGTAGACCGAAAATCAATAGACTTCCCCAAGGTAGCTCATTAAGACTTCTTTGTGATGCGCTCCTTAGCACGAACGAGGGGGTCTTGTCATGGCTAAATCTCCATGGGACCCTCCCCTGTAATGCCTTCTTGATGAAGTGGATGGTCGATCAGGCAAACTCGCTCAAACCCCCTAGTCCTTACCTTAGACTTGAAACTCCTTAAGTAGGAACGGCCTTGGATGCTCGCATCTTGAGGCAATGCACAAGCCTTATTCTAAGGAAAACCTAATAATGAGATGTCATAGCAACCCAAAAAATTCGATAATCTGGCGTAAAAACACCAACTTTAGATGCTAAAGGAATAATAACCATTCTATCCCTAAGTAGCCCAACTCTATCAACAAACAAATAGTAGCGCATGATGTCAATATAACTCAAAACATCCCCTAGAGTAGAGGAAATTCCTTTGTCAACCCAAACTGTAGAGACACCTTGTGTGGGTTATAAGCCACAAACTCGATGCCTTTGTCTCCAGCACAAGGAAGGTATCCCTTGGTAAAGCAAGCAATAAAATCAAAATAGTAGTCTACCACAGTCTCAATGGAATCAACGATGATAGTTGTGGACTCAGCGTGGTAATAAGGAAGCGACTCGACCATAAGGTGGAAACCAAATAAGGGTGAAAGACGAATTGTTATTCATCATTGAGAAAGGGGCCCACCAACCTAGATATGGAGCATCTGGACCACCGTAGTCCTACGGAGAATGACCATCATCTGTAGGACATTTGGCCTTAGGAGTAGATGTAGGGAAGCTCTCAAGTAGAAAGAGCTGTAGGAAGAGGGTAGAGACGTAGCTACTAATGTTGTAACGCCCCACCGAAATGGAGGTCATCTCCTACAAATCATCAAGGCAAAGATACAGGTTCCTGAGAAATGGGGGAGCTAAAGGGACTGCATACCCACGATCCAACCAAGTAGCTAGAGGAAAAATGTTGATGTTGATACCATCAAAAGGGGCCTCCAGTGTCACGTATTGAGTAAACCACATTGCAATAAAGGCAGCCAAGATATGTTCACTCCTGGACCCAGGGCCAACACACTCGGGACCCTTGCTCTTTGCAGGCTCGATGTACTTGGAAAAGAATCTCACCCAAGTTGTGTAAGTACATTTGTGCCCGCTGGCACTACTTTCGATGCTAAAAGATGAAGGAAACCTCGCGATATCGATAAAACAATCAGATAAATAAGACACTACGACTGCCTCAGCAAGAGTAGAATCTTTGAAGAGGAAAATGGAATCTCCAAAGATGAACAGTTGCATCAACACCAAAACATCCTTCAAGGTGGGGATAAACTCACCCCAAGCAGTGATGAAGATATGAGTCTCGCGGCACTAGTGAGATATCAAATAAAATAGGTTGGCATTATGCCGGTTGACGCTAATCTTACGTCACACCTTTATAGCGAAAATAATACCGACAGACTCCAAAGTTTCACAAAATGCCCCATCTGTAAGAATGTGGTCAGACCACTTATGCCAACTAGTAGAAGGAGTGGATGAAGTCCCAATGTCAATAAAAGAATAAGGGTAGTCTCTTATCTCCAATGAAATCCAAAACACAAACACGGGATCAATACAAGGGGCCTTGTAAAAATGTGCAGGGGGATCCAAAAATAATGGATGGGCTGACTTTTCTCCCTCGGGCACATTGCTGCGAAGGTACTCAAAAATCTGATCAATATCACCATTGAGAAAGGGGGTGCAATACCACTCCTCAAATGACGGCACTGGACTTGTGCGAATATGACGATGGTCAGCTATGGGCAAAAAAAATAATAAAAGTGGTGTGGGGAACAAAAATATGGTGGAAGGAAAAATTTGTGAATATCTATATAAAGGCTAGCACACTTGAGAAATTTAGAGAAGAGAAAAAGGAGGGTGTAAAGACTTGGAAAATAAAGTGGCAAAGTGACTTAGAAAATTTGGAGAGAGGAGAAAGGGAAAACATTGCCAAGAAATTTGAAGACACAAACGAAAAATGGGAAGTGGTAAAAGAAAGTTGTGACGACCTTAATTTATAGGCAAAAATACATTGGTTAACAAACAGATAGAAGTCGCATCACCTAGCAAAAGGATTTTGGTTAACAAGCTTGAACCTTTGATTAATATGTCTAGTTCCTTTGATGTCAATTAGTAGCCCCCATGCCTTGGTCAATGCCCCAATGCCTTAGACAACAACTTCCTTGCCACACAACAGAAGTTAGGCCCACCAGTGGGCAGTAGTCACGCCACTAGTGAAGAGTTGTGCTATATAGCAACATTGACAAGCTTTTCATTTAGCAAGTTAAAACCAGCCTCCAGTCAACATTAAATGCATGTCTTGGTCAAAGTATCACTCTAGTTGCCCACACTTTCATCTGCATCAGGAGGATAGGCCAACTGCAAGTACCTTGATTGGTCACATCAGTAATGGAAGCTTTGATAGCCATTAGGTGTGTGTCAGAGCCTAACAGCTAAGAGTGGTCAAAATCAGTGTCAGCCTGACTAGTAGGAATAGCAGGGCAGTACCCTATGTCATGTCAACTCCACCCGTCAACAATCATTGCTAACTTGGTCAATGTACTAAACCATCAAATCTAACCATACATCACAGTAGGGCCACTCACAACAAGTACGTCCTGAGAGATTATGTGTCGATGAAAGTCACGGCAGCACGTTAATTAGAGGCTTTGTTC